AGTTGTTTCAGGTCATGAAAACTGACTGAGGTTACATAAAATAATTCATTCTGTATGTCGTGTACTACTTTTTTACCAATTTTTGTAAGAATATATTGATTTTCCCCTCTATTTTTAATTGGGTTTTTTTCGTTATACAGTGACTTTTGTGAATTTACCTTGACGACCCTGTATGTACAACAAACTGATGATAAACAACATTCTTGTAATTTGCTAAAATCAAAGTTTCACAAAAATTAAAATTTGTTTAGGAAAATGTAAAAAAATGATTTTGCTCTAGCATTTGGATTTCATAATTCAGGGATGCACAACCTTTTCTGAAGAAGGGCCAAATTAGGATTAAGTTTACTGACTGGGGGCCGGACCTCCAAGTGATTAATGCGATGGCTGAGATTGGATGCTGGCGGCAATCTTCTTGATGTCTAGCATAATGGCAGATGTTGAAACAACCAGCAGATTTTCCAAATTCTCGTTGGTTAACCTGTTCCGTGTTTTGCACTTGTTTAAATTCATAAGCGAAAACGCTTGTTCGCATACATACCATGTTTCCCCGAAAATAAGACCTAGCAGAGGTTTTGCTGAATTGCTAAATATAAGGCCTCCCCCCGAAAGTAAGACCTAGTAAAGTTTTTTTTTTTTTTCTCGTAATGGTCATCGACTGCAGGTTGAAAGTGGCCGTTGGCTTTTTGAAAGTACAGCCACTGATTGGTCAGCAGACAACAGGCCACACGGCATGATTTGCATAAGACTATGGCTTGGAATCACAGATTTGCATAATGTTATGGCTGGTGATCACTAATTGGTCGGCCGGGAATCACGCCACATCATATTTGCATAGTGTTATGGTTCAGTAAGCAGTAATTGGTCATCGAGCCCGATGTAGACGCTATAAAAAGGTTAAGTTGAAGCAAGAGTGGGAAGTCCACTCCAACGGAACTTTGTAAGTTCACTTCGGTTTTATTTAAGTTCAGTTCAACATGACCGGATATACGTCACTCTCGTCTAAGTTCGACTTGGGAATTTTTTTGTTCAATAGTAAATGTGAATTCTTCATGGAAAAATAAGACATCCCCTGAAAATAAGACCTAGTGCATCTTTCAGAGCAAAAATTAATATAAGATAGTGTTTTATTTTCGGGGAAACACGGAAGGTACTGCCAAACATGCTTGCACAAAATCGAGCATTGTCTTTCAGTTTTGGAAATGATGTATCAGGCAGTTCTTTGTAGAATGTGAGGAGATTAGAATTTTTAAACTGTGATTTCAATTCATCACTGCACTGGATGTTTATCAACTCAAGTTGGACATCTGGAGGGGTATCTTCCACTTTCACATCAAATGGAGTTGAAAAAAGTTGCAGGTAGATCTTGTATTTCTGGAATTCACCAAACCTCTCATTGAATGATGTAAGGAGGGTGTTAACTTGGTCAGAGTAATCCATCTTCATATGTGGGTATTTCTCTTTCATGGCCTTGCAATGTGGAAAGTGTGTAAAGTTCTCTGATTGCATGTGAGACTTGAAAAGTGATAGTTTGGTCATAAATGCATTGATGTTACTTGTCAACTGAGAAACAAGTTGCATCTTTTCCTGCAATCTCAAATTAAGGTCGTTTAGATAAGAAGTAATGTCAGCAAGGAAAGCTAAATCACACTGCCATCTTTGTTCCTCCAAATTCCTTGTAGTGTTCCCCCGTTATTAGAGGAAAGTGATAATAGGCCCCAATAGCTCCACAAATCTCTTGAGGACTGCTGCCTTGCTCAGCCAACAAACTTCAGTATACGTGGGCAGGTCAGCATAATCAGCATCTATTTCTTCAAGAAATGATGTGAAGAGTCGATGGTTGAGTCCATGACGGCGGATTAAGTTCACAGTATCATATACATCTTTCAGCAGACGTTCAAATCCCAGCTTCTTTGCACAAAGTTGCTGTTGGTGAATTATGCAATGATACTGGACTAACTCCTTTTGCCTGTCCCCAAGGTGGTTTTTCAGCAAGGTGACCATGCCATTCTCACATCCAACCATAGATGGTGCTCCATCGGTGGCAATGCTGGATAGCTTGTCAAAGTCCAGTGCTGATTTGTTGCAAACGCTCAATAAACTAGTAAATAAGTCAGCACCAGTTGTATGTCCAGAAAGTGATGCCATGCCAAGAAATTCTTCATTCACAATAAAATCTAGTGAAACACTTCTAATAAACACAATCACTTGTGCTGTTGATGATATGTCAGTGGATTCTTCCACAGCCAAAGAAAAATAAGCACAGTTTGCAACTAAAATATTAAGTTGGCCAGAAATGTCTGATGCAATTTGCGAGATTCTTTGTTGTATCGTCATGTGGTTAAGACTGATTGTTTGAAAACACTGTCTTCTCAGGACACATCTCACTTGCGATGATAAGACACTTTTTTATCATATCGCCATCTGTGAAAGGTTTCCCATTCTTGGCTATTAAAGCAGATATTTCTAGGCTGGCTTCAACAGCCGCATCCAATTCTCCAGATTGTTTCTTGAACACATTTTGTTGGCTGATTAGTGATCGTCGTAACGATTCGATTTTCCGTTTGCGTTCCGTACCTTGCAGAAGGAAATCCTTGTGTTGGCTTTCATGATGTCGCTTCAGGTTGAATTCTTTTGGCACTGCTATTGTTCCATTGCACAAAAGGCAAATAATGCTGTTGTTCTGTTGCACAAAACAGTACTTGTTAGTCCACACTTCCACTTCTTGAAACTGATGATTCTCGCGATTGACCTTGCGTTTAATGCCCGGCGCCATACTGTTCACTCTGCAAAACAATGTCTCATTGTGCCGAAAATTCTGAGGCCCGCAACAAATCATGTTTGAGATAAGGCAAGCTAGACTACCACGTGCTTTGTTCTGTATCCACTCTGACCAAAGACTAAAGAGGCGGGGACAGAAGACTATTACGCACACGTGGCCAGGCAGGTCTTAATTCGTTCGACCCCTGTCCGGGCGTCTCCACCATTTCTCAGAATTTGTGAGTCAGATCGTCAACATGCCAGGTGCAGGACACTAATCCATCATAAATGTGGTTACCATTCTTACCTAAATTATATTTATGGCCCGTCAGTTTTACCCCCGTGTTCAGAAATGAATCAAAAGTGATTAACACAGTGCAGTGGAAAATCTGAATATTTTAAATATAATTATTAAAATTGCGATATCTCGTTTCAAATTGGCGCTAGAATCAATCTGTTTTTTTTTTTTTTTTTGTCCTAAATATATCACAGTTTACGACTGTTAAATTTCAAATAAAATAAAAATTAAAAATAATAATTTAATTTTAAATTTACGAAAAAAAGAATGTAAAAATAAAAGTAAATAAAAAGTTCCAATTAATTTACTACTTAAATAACCTAAATATATCTGTTTTCTTTCAAACAAAAAAAACCGCAGCTTTCTAGCTACACGGAATCATTTTACAACCCTCTTTGTTGACAAGTTTATGGCTTGACGCGGTTTGTAATAATTATTAAATCCAAAATATTTTAATGCAAATGGCTTCCTTTTAGTCGTAATGACTCTATTCCAACTACAGTATTAATTTTCTTGGTCCAACTTAATAATAATAAATTTGATGTGAAAAATTTTTTTTCTATTCTTTGTCTATGGAGAGATATTGTTGTAAATTATTGGTTTTATAGCTTTTTGTACATTCCTTTTTGAACTCTGGTTAGTTTTTTTCTAGTTTGAATGACATTAGGTTGACGAATAAGCGTCTTTTCAGAAAAGATTGATTCAAATTCGACTATACCAATCAGAATCTAGAATGTAAACAAATGCTAAAAAATCGTTATTTTCATGGTTTTTCAGCGCTATTTTCACTTATTTTTGTTATTTGACGCTATTTAGACGAATAGGCAAGTTTTCCGAAGCATAAAATTGAAGATTTCCCGCCAAAATAGAAACTTCCCGATAACATCGGAAATGACGTTCTAACATCATTTTAAAATATTCGATATCTAAAGCAGAAAGTGTTAGCTAAAAATAGACTTATTTATAGAACAATCCCCCATTTCTCACCTCAGGGAAAGTCATAAAACAGTTGGGTGCTAATGACTTTGTGAAAGGGAAAAAGTCACTTAGAAACTACACTTAGAAACTTCGAAAGAAGGGATTTGGCCTGTACTGTCTGCGGGCCGCAAAAACATTGATAGGGGGCCGTACGTGGCTCGCGGGCCGCAGGTTGTGCACCCCTGCATAATTGTAATTCAGAATCTAACTAAAAATTAAAAGGACAATTTTAGAGTAATTTTATTCTTTCAATTTATATTAAAATGCAGTATTGGAAATCTATTGAGTATGATGTGATTAGCATTACTCAAATCTGTTTCACTGCTACAGATTTTTTGGAGTTTTCCCCACTCTGTGGATACTAAGAGGGCCTTGTCTCCAAGGCCCATTGCAGGTTTGGACAGGTGTATGATGTGGACTTTGGATGATGAAGAACAGAGTCTGAAATAACTGGGACAGAGTGCCCATTAAAAAATTCCAGGGTTTGTTACTCATCCAGATTCAATCCTAGGACCCACCAGCGCGCTAAGCATTGAATACAAATAAGTGAAGAATCATGCCATCAAATCTTCATACCTGAATCAGTGCTTCAGTTTTAGAGTAACTCATTTAAATTCTTAATTTATAAATATGACTGGCGATATTTCAAACTATTAATTGTTTAAATAAAAAGAATAAACAGAAAAGTCAATAATTCAAAACCTAGATAAAGTATTTTAGAGTTAGAATAATATGAATTACATCACTAAATTAAAACACCATCAATCAGAAGTGACGAGAGAGAACAATTAAGTGATGAATATAGATCAACGACATTCAAGTTTGTTTCCAAAAAGCAAACATCCATCTTCTGAGAGCTGCCTTTATTAAAATCTTTAAGATTTTCAAATGTAATTTTCTTTTCTTTCAAGAACAATTTTGTTGTTAAAAAATTGAGTCAAGATTTATTTTAAAAAATTCTTACTCTATTCTTGCAATTTCTGTTGTGGAAACGTCACGTTTAATTTTCTACCTTCTTCCATGAGTTTTTCTATTTCCTCGACTGCACGAGGGACACACGTTAACAGCTCCATGCCATCCGACGTTATTACAATATCGTCTTCAATTCTGACCTAGTGAAGAATGGTATCATAAGAGAAAACAAAATAAAAATATAAAACCTTTTCTAACTTAAATAAAAATCACATACTCCTCCAAATCCACGATATTGCTCGATTACGTCAGGAACCAAAAACTGGGAAAGTTGAGGATCATTTAAAGCTTGATCTAATAACTGCAGTAATAGAAATAAATAAAATTTTATAGTGAGATTAAGCAGACTATGTTAAATTTTTAAAAGTATAACAAAACTTCAAAATTTAAGGGAAAAAAAACCATTGAACACATGAAAAAGTAGAGTGGAACCTCACTTAATGAGCATAATTCGTTCCAGAATCTTACTCATAATGTGAAACACTTGTTAAGTGAAACAATTTTTCCCATATAAATTACAGTAGAGCGTCGTTTATCCGAATCAATTGGGGACTGGGATTGTTCGGATAACTGATTATATATGAAAAAAATATATTAACCTATCCCATCCTGAAATTTTTCTCCTTTGTGTGTCACTTTGCATTGAATTTTCGTCAATGTTATACCTAATGTAAACTTTTTAAAATAATAATGTGGCTATTGTATCATTAAAAATTATTTCTTTATTTTGTACAAACAAAATAAATATATTGAAAAATATAAAAACAATAAAAAATTATACTTCAGAAGTTAATTTAGTATCAAAAACATAAAATATTTGAGTAGCCCAAGACATAGCTAAAGATTGCAGCGCCACAGCCCTGGCAAAAATTTAAATTTGCCAACTGGAATTCTTTCGGATAACTGACTTTCAGATAAACGACGNTTTATAGAATTAATCACACTATTAAAATTATTTATTGTCTATGATTTGATTCAGAGGTGCATAAAGATCAAGTATGAAGTTAAAATTCGTTCAAAAAAAAAAAAAAATAATAATAATAATAATAATAACAATGTTAGTAATTTATTACGTAAAAGTAAACCATTTTAAAATTATTCCTATAAATTTAAGAAAACATGCAAGCTAAACATTATACTATATTTTCACTTTATTCTCACTACATATTACGACAACTAAAGGAAATAATTTATTCCGGCATGACTTCTTCCCACATAACATAATCGATCAGCATTTCCTATTTCGGTGGGTTGACATCATTCAGCTGACCAATCAGCACATTGTGCCATTTAGATATTTAGTCGCATGTTAACTGTCTATCTCTAGTCAAATTAATTAATTTCTAATATTTAATTATAGCCTTTACATAGCCCAAGAATTTGGCATATCGTTTGTCATGTTTATTAAATAACAGGTTATAGTTGTTGATGTTTATATGTAATGTGTGTGATCATAAGTGACACTAAGATGCTAGCAGAACAAGTGCTAAACACAGGCTGATGGAGCATGTGGAAAATCCAGGACTTCCCCTCTCCTGGTCACTCGTTATGCGAAATGTCATTCATTAAGTGAGTCGTCTTTTCACAATTTGCTTTGCTCATTATGCGAGGCTCCATTGTATATTAATTAAGAGGATCTCTTCAGTTTCTGAAACAACACGACTTTTTAATCAATATTGCTGGATCACTAATGTTAAGCAGTGAATGGCCTGGAAAGTATATTGAACCATGTAGACTTAATATTGCCGAACACAGTTATTTAACCTCACCTGAATTCTAGTTGCTATGGGCAGATTTATGTCCAATTTTAAAAAAAATTGGAAAAAGAAGGAAATATCTGGTATAGAATAAAGCAAAGTCAGGAAATAGCATCAACCTCATAAGTGGGACTAAAATGCAGAAGAACAAACTGTTCAAGTTTGAGAAATGTGTGTAACTCAATCTGATTAATTAAAAAAAAAAAAAAAAAAATCAGCATTAAAATTTTATAGGAACTGCATGATATTTTAATATTTTTTTGGAATTTATATTTTGTATGGAAAAGGAAAGAGAGATATTGAGAGATTTCACAGATTAATGGTTGACCTATTCAAGCCACTCAAGAGCTTGATTTCAATAGTTCAACAGGAGCTTTGTGGAGGAGAAGTCATTGTAGATGTGTTCCATCATTTGAAGTTCTTGGCATTCACAGTTTTTATTACTTCTGTAGTTCCATTTATGATGAAGATTCCATGCCCAATGCCATTTAGTTTGATCCAGAGAGTCCATAGTGAGAAAAATAAATGATTGTGCTAGAGATGCTACATGATTAATAAAGCACAAGGATTTTCCCTAAGAGATTGGAGACAAGAATGCAATTTGTGACATTTTTGTGAGCCATCTTCAAAGACCATGCTTCATTGACATTGAAGTCAGAGTCTTCAAGTTCCATGTCAGTAATCCAGAGGATTTTCTCTACTTAGGTCTAAATTTGGGAATTTACTAAAGTATGGGAGACAGGTTAGACATGATTTTCTTATAGGGGCCATCAATAAACTACGTAAGGGCGATTACGGCCATTCTAGACCCCATCTACCCGTGTAAAAAATCATAATATTTTCTTTGATCCCCCTCATCTTCCCTATCTTACATAATATTTTAGCATGATTTTATAGAAAGATTTTAACCAAAAAAAATTTTTTATGATGTAACTAGTAAAAATTCAGTAGCAAGTAAATTACTCTCTTTTCAAAGCCAGTTTGCCATCAGAATTTCGAAGTGCTGCAGAACTGTTTTTACTAATGCCTCTCTGATACTAGCAGAGCTCCTTCATAGTGACAAAGGAAGGAGCTCTCTGAGCTCCTTCCTTTGTCACTATGTATTGTAGAAAAGGTTCTAAACTACTACATCAGAATTTCAGATGTCAAGGCTCAACAACGGTCTCTACTCCCATCTATGGCTGTTCATATGTTACCACATTGGAATTACCCTACTATCTTTGATCATCATCCTGTAAACAAGGTTATTTGGTGTCATCTGCTTCCTCCATGGATAACCACGCAGACATTAATATCTACACATATGGGTCCAAAAGCTCCCTTCTTGTCGGCTCAAGTATCTTTATCTTCCTCCAAACTGACATATTTTGCCAAAAATATGTTAGAAGGTACAGATACCTCCATCTATCAAGCTGAAAAGGATGCTGACTACCAAGCTGTTCAGTGGGCCACTTCACTACCAAACAAAACTCTGTCTATCATCATTTACAGTGATTCTCAGTCTGTCCTAAAAGCTGTATTAAATCTCAATTGCAATAACAATAAAATTGCATATATCCAGCATCATATTAAAAATCTTGTAAATAAAATAACTTTTATATTTGTTCCTGGCCATATTGGCATTCTAGGAAATGAAAAAGACGATTTTGAGGCTAAGTGAGCTGCAAAGGACACTGATTTGGACTACACTCGCATCCCTCTCTAACATAGCCACAGTCTCTTCAATTCAGGGAATATGTGTTTATAATTTTCAAAGCAAGCATACAAGTTTGTGCCAATAATCTCCAATTGTCAGCCCATTCTTCATTCAAATCAAAAATATTTCATTTTATTGAAACAATTTTGACATTATCTTCCATGTTCAATATATTCAAGATTACTGAAGTCTACAGGTGAAAGATTTTTTGGATATTTTACATGAAAAAATTTTTTGCATTTGAAGGTTTAGGTTCAGAAATTAAAGCTTAGTCGCTATTAAAAAAAATCCATATCTTAATTTTAAAACTTTCTAATTTGATAAACTTTCAGTTCAGTAAATAAAAAATTATTTTATAAATTATATAATAGTAATCAATTAAGTTTAAGTTAAAATGTAAGCTTAATTTGTATAAAATTTATATAAAATTTGTGTAATTGTATTTACATATAGTAACTTACTGCATCAATAAAATATATTCCAGGTTCAATAGTTAATACCATCCCTTCTTCGAGGAGACGAGCGGTTCTTAAGTTTCTTAATCCGGGAGCGTTTACTCGTTCCGGTCCGCACTAAGGTCATATATAATAAAAATGTTTTTTAAACTACAATATGTAAATGGCATTTAAATGTAAACACAAGTTGTACCTCTGGATAACCACCGACATCATGTACGTCGCACCCCATGAAATGTCCAAGACCATGAGGCATAAATGTTGCCCCAAGATGGACCTTCATCATATCTTCTATGTCACCTTTCAATAAACCATGCTTTTTCAATTCTTCTAACTGAACTTGACAGGCCAATAGGTGCATGTCAACCCAAGAAACACCTACAATTATTGCAATTCTTATTTAATATATATATTAAATAATTTAGAAAATTCTGCAAGAGAAGATTAATCTAGAATGGACTAATCTAATTTATAATTCCTCCACACTGACAAGCATATTACAAATTACACATATATTGTTAGGGCTTTTATTAATATGACAAACAAAATGTATACTGTACTACACAATTTCATGAGAATTGTAAATATGAAAACAACATAATAAGTGTCCAAGATAATTGCAATCCATATTTATAACATGATATAAAATATACACTAAATATAATTTTTACCTGGTTTAACTGCCTTCATTACAGCACGACTAGCTTTATAAACGGACTCGTATATGGCTTTTTGCTGTGTTGTAAATTTACCATTAGCGGGAAACGAGCACGTGATGTCCGATGCATAGCAATTATATTCACATCCCATGTCAAATAGACTAATAAATAATAAAACAGCTTTAAAAATTATATTTAAATTCTTTCTAATTTTAAGTATAAAATAATTATATAAAGGACTCTGAAATAAGCCATTTAAAATTATAAAATTTTAAATATATATAATAATTTAAATCACAACTAGAATATTTAATTACAATTGACAGTATTTTACAAAATTTTTATTTGAAAGGAAATTAAAACATTTTTGAATACTTTCACAAGGAAAAATTCTTTCTGCAAGTATTGTCATGATGTGTGCAAACTGCAAAGAATTTCTCTGATTAAAGGTTTTTTTACATGATACAATTACCATTGATACTCACTCAAAACTGCAATATGCACAGATTTATCTTGTTTTGAACAAACAACTTACGACAATCTTGGTTCAACAAGTTACACTGTCATGAAAATCTAATCTGTCAAATTTTTCTCATTGCCCAATCTTTGAACCAATCAATGATGGTAACAGAATCATGTGTTAGATTGTATTCTCACTCTTGAGAGAAATGGATGCTCTTGAACATTCTCAAAATGATTCACAAGTTGTATGCTAACAGACTTTGTAAATGTCTGAACTGTTCATGCAAACAAGACTGTTAAGCCATCTTGTTTGCATGCTTTTGGGTCAACGAAAATGTCAGTGGCAGTCATGTTGTATAAACCTGCCTTTCAAAAGTTGAGACATTTTAAGAGATTTTTTAAAATTCAGTTTCAATTTTATTTTATAAATGCAGTTGCTTGTATATAAAGATTAAAAAAAAAAGTTAAAGGCCACCTTTTTTAAAAAAAGCCTCTTGTAATTCAATTTTCCTATTAATTTATGGAAAACTTATAACTTGATTATAATTATTTTTCATGTCACTAAGCAGAAGATTTTAGTAATTAATGAATATAACAAAATGTTTTATATTTTAAGATACAAGTCCAACATGTACATGATCTTCCAAAAAGAAAGTTATACTAATTCAAAAATGGTAGCAATGTTAATTATTACCTGAGAAGCATGTATTGAGCACCAAATCGATTAACTGTTTAAATTTCATCTACCATTTGCATTCAAAAAGTCTTTTTCCCGTACTGCTTCTAGGAAAAGTTGTAAACAAAAATGGTGACTCTGCAACAGAGAAGACATTTTGTGTTCTACAGTCTACAAAGTCAGAATTGGTTGTCTTTGTGCAGTAAGATGTTTGCCTAAGATGGTGGATTACTTTGAAATTGTCTGGGAGGAGAGGAAAAGCAAAAATCATTGAAAATTGTGTTGCACAATGATGACTGATTCCAATTCCAAACTGCAGAATATAAAATGTATTTTTGTTTATGATGCTTCCTAGACAGTAGACAAGACTACATTTGAATGCAGATTGTACATGAAAATCGAATAGTTACTCTATCAAATGGTACAAAAGCATACTTATCAGTTAATAATTAACATAATTATAGTAATTGAAAATGGTAGCATTCATTTAAAAGACTCTCTACAATAATAATGCAGAAAATTAAAAGATAAATTTTAACGTTAATGTAATGTAAGAAACTATCAGATCCTATAATTAAATATTTGGAAATTTAAAGTACATACCACATATCACCATCTTGAACAGTCTTATCATTTGGTGCACCAGCATGCCCGTAATGTAAAACTGCACCATTTTCACCACTAGAAATAAATTTTGTATATTTAACTTATGCATTTTGGAAATTTAAACATTAATTAACGAAATTACCTTCCACATATGCATGTGTACGAAACATGTCGAGCTCCTCCTGTATAATAACAATAATGCAAGAATATGCTAAAAGAAATTGAGAATTCTATTAGTACAAACTGTACATATATACATCTAAATTTATGTTATTGACGTTAAAAACTTCCTCTGAACATACATAACTGTAGGGTGCAAACTAATAATATTAATTAAAAGTTTATTGCAGATATGCACCGCTTAAAGATGGGGATACATTTTGAGAAATATGTCGTTAAGCATCATCATTACATGTACAGTATTTAAGACAAATCTATAAAGCTTACTAATCATATGGGTTATATGTAACACAATGATAAATATTTTTATAGTTAAACATAGGAAAAGTACAAGTAGCTATAAACTTTATCTCCATTATAATCTTACAGGATCATCATACATGGTCCATCATTATGTGGCACATACCCACATGTAGGAAAATAATTTACCTTTCCAATTGATATTCTTTCATTCCTGGTCTTATTTGTTTCATTACCTAATAGAAAATGTAATACAATAACATAAGACAAACATTTCTTCTAATAGTTTGCAAAAACGGATGACAAATTCAACCTACTTCTTTGTGTGCTTCACTGCTAATACGGTTTGTATACCTCAAAACTTCTATTTCATATGGTGTCTTGATAACACGACTAAAATTTTTATAAAAAAAAAGTTATTTTAAGAAAGATGATGTTGATAAACTGTACAGTAAGTGTTTTTAATACAGTAGACTCTCTCAAAGAACCTTCAAGGCAAACATGTCAAATAGTCCTTTTCCAGTTTTGATAGAAAGGTACAAATTACATCATAGTTTCATACCAACAGAAGAAAACTACTCCAAACCTTCAAATCATTATAAAAATCCTTAAGAAAAATTTAAACTAAATATTAAATACTTCTAAAAACTATTCTATGATTTTTCAATCAGTTGCATACACAAATGCATGCTATAAACTAGAACAAAGCTTTATAATCTTCCTAAAAGTTTCCATTGTAGACCATAATCATTTATAAGTTTTTATATTCATCATAGAATTCTATATTCATAATATTCATCATATATTACTCTTAGGAGAGAATAGTGGGACCTTCTCTGTTGATCTTTAATTTGTGATAAGGTCTATATTATAAGGTTGCAATAAGGCGAGTCTACCATACAAATATTTTATTGTTGATCATCATTTAATATGACAATAAAATGGAAACAAATAGGCATTAATTGTAAAAATATAGTTTACATTTCTTAAAATCATTAAAATATTAGAAAAAAAATTTATATTTTACCATTCCACAATTTCTGGATGAAGAAGTGTATTGTTTACAGTAAATCTGTAAAAATTATAAGAAAAAAGAATGAATATTTTATCAATAAAGTAAATTCAAAATTTAAATTTAAATAAATTAAGAAAATAACTCTCTTCTCTCTATCAAATTTTCCATTTCAGATATCAAATATAATCTTATAATTTTTGCATGAAAAGGAGCATATTTTTAAATCAAAAATAATAATAATTTTAATTATTATTTCTTAAATCCAATCTCAACAAACCAAGTTATGAAAATATTTTGTAATAATTAAAAAAAAGGTTTTCATGAAAAAAAAGTTTTATTACATACTATATTTAAAAAATTTTTGTCAAATAAATAAAAAGGTAGAGTTTATAATAGAAGACTTCATTGTGATTCTTTAAAGTGTTATTACTACTAATAAATTGATTTTGAAAATAATATATTATTTTATTTAATTATTATACATTAGAGCATTTAAATAATCAGAATAAAAGAAAATTAAGCAATTTTAAAATATGAAAGAAAACAATTCAAAATAAACAAAAATAAGTTAATGGCCTAAACCAATGGTTCGCAATTAGTGATACGCATACCCATGGGGGTATGCAAAATTGCATGAAGGGGTACATGCGGCAATCTAAAATCAGCCAATTTAAAATTTAAATGCATGAGATGAAGCAATCAAAAAAATAATGGGTGGTCCATCAAAAATTCAGCAATTTACAACATGAGGTGGAATGCACAAATTCGTTTATTTATAACTAAAAATATTCTCGAAATTTCATTAAAAAAAATGCATTTGTGACAATACCTAAATGAAATTCTTGTGCAAGAAACAAAAATTGTACAATTAACACAATTNAATGATAGCCGAAAAAGTGTGAGCTGACTAGAAAATAAAAGTAATGATCAGAGAAGTGTAAGTTGAAAACTCTCGTCCTAAAAAAAAAAAAAGAAAAAGGTCAACAGCATATCGGACCCAACGTTGTTATGAAAAGAAAGTATTATACTATAAATGTCTTAAGTTTTTGTCGATTCTACTTAAACTCTCATTTTAGTCAACAATAATTTCTCTCAACAGAAAGAAAATTAAATACATAATTTTTAAAATCACTGATATAGTTTTAATATGGCCCTAGGGGGGTCGCCAGAATTTTTTAACTTGTAAAGGGGTCGCGTGTTCAAAAAGGTTGAAAAACACTGCATTAGAGCATTTAAATAATCAGAATAAAAGAAAATTAAGCAATTTTAAAATATGAAAGAAAACAATTCAAAATAAACAAAAATAAGTTAATGGCCTAAACCAATGGTTCGCAATTAGTGATACGCATACCCATGGGGGTACGCAAAATTGCATGAAGGGGTACATGCGGCAATCTAAAATCAGCCGATTTAAAATTTAAATGCATGAGATGAAGCAATCAAAAAAATAATGGGTGGTCCATCAAAAATTCAGCAATTTACAACAAGAGGTGGAATGCACAAATTCGTTTATTTATAACTAAAAATATTCTCGAAATTTCATTAAAAAAAATGCATTTGTGACAATACCTAAATGAAATTCTTGTGCAAGAAACAAAAATTGTACAATTAACACAATTTGTGTTAATTGTATAATTATCATTATTACCGTGTCAGCAAAGCTGCAATAATATATTTACTACCATTTTGCAGAACATACCTCTGTGAGAGCGGATTTTTGGCCATGACAAACATGAAAACTAAACATCGTCACAGACTTCAACTCGAAGATGACTTGAGACTGAAGCTGACCAAAAAGCAACCAGATTTTATAAAGTTTTGCAAAGAAAATTGTGCACATTTGTCACATTAAAATCAAATAACCATATGTTATTTTCATTATTATTAGAATTGTATTTTAAAAGTAATAAATGTAAAAAAAACTTATTCTATTTATTACTTGCTGTCTACCCACAGCTTCACCCGCATTATATCAAATTTTCTTGTGGTAGTAAGATATTTTCTCGCAGTAAATGTAGCCTATGTCCATCTCCAACATGTAGGCTATCTCTGTTCCAAATTTTATTAAAACCTGTTCAGCGGTTTAGACGGCAACAGACAGACAGGATTACCTTTGAATTTATAATATTAATATGAATTTCTGCTATAAGGGGTACACGAGTTTGAGCTCGCTCTTGAAGTGGTATGCAGGAAAAACTAATTGGGAACCACTGACCTAAACTATAACTAAGAACTACCTTATTAAATAATGTTAAATAAATTTCTTTGACTAAACAACTTAAATGTTATTAACCTGGTACCATGTTTTGTTTATTTTCAAAATTTATACATTCAATATAAAAATACACTCAGAAAAAATGTTTTAATTTATATTCAAAAGTGAAAATTAATTTTAGTGATTGAAGCATTCCTGATTTCAAATTTTAAATATGTTTCTGTAGAGTAATAGGATTGTTAATTAGGAAAAACAAAAAAACAAAAATCAAATTGCCATTCATCACTATTATAAATGCAATTCTGCACTATTCTTGAGAAATGAGAAATAACTGAACAAAAACATCAAAAATTTGGAATGCAATTTTTAGTTTAAGCTAAAACTTTATCTATACATATTATTATTATTATTATTATATCTTAGATGTGTTTCATTAGTTAAAAAAAAGGAAAATGTTTGCTTTCTTCACAATTAAAAACATCTTTAGAAAACCTCGAGAAAGGATGGTACAGTCCACTTTACTTTTTTACTTTAATCTTTCTATATTGACTAATATTTGTTTTAAGTTATCTGTATTTTTTCGTAGAAAACCATAATAATAAAAAATTCCATGAATAAACTAGAATAAAGCATTATTTAAAATGTTAAATCAATAGATTAAATGTTTCTTTTGTCTATTTTTATGAATGACTCCTTTGTTATTTAACAAAAACTGGTTGAATGCACCTCTAAATGACAGCCAGAAACATTTATCTATTGCTAAAAATGAATGAAAAAGTGAGTTGTCCAAAAGTCAAACATTGCTTGTATATTTATGCATTCAACTTCCAAATCCTATTAATTTATTAATTTGAATAAATAATCTTTTGTTTCCAATTAATCGAACTTGTGAGAGTCAGGATTTAAGAGGGTCGAGATTCAAATAGTTATATTCATTCTGTTCATTCATTTATCGTTTCGTTTCAAAATCAAACCAATTTTTTTTTTTAAAGTTAGGGTTAACACAAAAAGGGAAAAACAACTGACAAATTTTCTCATAAAAATCGCTCATAAAAACTCTGTTCCCACGACAATACTTCCCTGTAGAAGATGAGTTAACTGTTGTGTCATAAGTTTGTCACTTCGCCCACCATTGGTCAACGAAGATCATCACCTGTGACGTACATGGGAAATCTCGAAAAGAGAGGCCCCATATAAAAGACAAGTGCGATGACAACACAGGGGGGAAAGTTATTGTTCTGTACTCTGTGTGCGCGTGTGTGTGAATTACCTGCCTCTCGTCGCCACCATCCTCGATAGAACTATTCTATGATTTGAGGACTTATGTCGACTCACGAACTATTTTAACGAGCCCAGGATTCGGACTCCAAGATCGTCCTGAAACCACCATCCTGTATAACTAGAGGTATTTATCCTACACGCGATGATGTGTAAGCTCTCTCTCGAATATTCCAACCTCGCAGGTAGGGTCGCGATTACTTTATACTTTGCCGTTACTTTATGAACTGTACGGACTGAAAATCCCGAGAGGGATTTGTATTCCAATTATTAACTATGTATAAATGTATGGAATAAACGGGTATTTTGTTAACGAACGATTGGAGTGCATTTCTTCCACCATTATCACCTCTAAACTAAACCCGAAGTCCTCAACGAGATCGCTCGTGATAATTCCCCCATCTATCCGCGATAAATTGATAGATTGGTGTCAGATCCTGACAGGTGACAGAATCTAACGATCCTTCTCCTAACCTTTTTTTCCCCATCCTTTAGACAAGTGAGACCGGACCTCAAGGTCTTGAGTCGAGTAAGAGGTAGGAGAGTGAAGAACTCGTAAACATCCTACCCCCGATTAGTCTCACAAACTTAATGGCAATTTATTTGCTTTCTAACTGATAGTTAAGTTTATATATAAATTTTAATTCATTATAATAAATGATACTGCTTTGTTTTATACACAGATATAGAATTAACAAAATTAAATGCTATTAGATTTCTTACTTGCCAATGCCGTCAAATGCAGCTTCTCGCGATATCTTTCCACTGTCTGTATTTAATCCTTTCTAGAAATGGGAAAATAACATTTATATATGTATACTTACAATATTTGTAGTTGATATTATATACAGTGGTACCTCAGGATACGAAATTAATCCATTCCGAAACTGAGATCGTATCATGATTTATCTTATGACATGAAAATGTCATAAGGTAAATCATTTTTCCCCATACGATTACATGTAAAACCAAATAATTCGTACCAACATAAAAAACACATTCAAATTAAAGCTAAGTAGTACCTTTAAAAAAAAAAAAATAACTATAGTAAGGAAAACATTGAAAAGTGTGTTTTGTAGTTGTAAATGTATTGTGAAATCCGCGATTTTTACGCCGATGTCGGAAAAATCTTTGTAAATAACTCCGATGAAAAAACCCACTCTTGGTGAGAAGTATATCGGAGGTCACCGATTGTTTTCACATTATGGTGGGAAAGTTGACAGTTAGTTGATCGGAGTGCACCGTAAGTGTCAACTGAAGTCGATCACGTGACTCATTTCCTACGAATAACGTATAAAAGCTCGGGTCCCCAAAAGCTCCGCGCGATCCCTTGGAAGTTATACTTGGTAGATGTGCCATATTTGTCTCCATACTCCGGACCGAAAGGACATACGACCAACCACAGCCATTTGAACTTCCATCGCCATTAACGAACATATTCAACGAACGCATATTAGACATATCCGCATAGAGGTTTCTGTACTTTTAGAGCTTTGTGAACTCTCTCTCAGACTAGAGGAAAAGCTATTAGAGCGTCCCTTTTGTATAGTGAATTTATTTAATCGCATTTAACCTATGTATCCTAGCTTAGTTATATAAATAAATACTTGTTTTGTTTTTAACCCTGTCTCCTGTCTCTGAAGGACACCTGCTGACTTACCGACGCACTCCCCACTCAAATTTTTGCCCTCCTAGAAATCCGACAAGCTGAGAACGGGTTTTACCAACTTGTTGCAGAGTAAGTGGTCATTTGGGATGAGCCCAGTGGCTCACTGTTAATCTCACAGTATAAATAACCATAATAGAATAATAATTGATAAAAAAAAAAATGCAGTTTTTATTTGCACTTTACCTTTGACGATAGACGACGGTGGAGGTGTAAACTGGTGGCAGAAGAGAGGGAGAAGGGAAATGATACTAAAACTTAACTTACATAACATAATGTAACAATAACTTAGAAAAGATTAAAAAAATTAGTGTTGTTTTATATATATTTTTAAAATTTTTATTCACTACTTTTTGCTTTCTTTCCTTCACTTCCACCAGCACTTTCACTGGATAGAGGTTGCTTGGTAAAATATCTATCCAAAGAGGTTTGGCTTTGCCTACTTTTTAAAATGTTTCTAAAATGACTTAGGCAAATGTAATTACTCTGAGCAGCAATACGGCCAGTGTAAACATTTTTGGGATGTTCAATTTTAATAAAATGGCCACTTTCTGATAAAACTTCAAGATTTCCTTTATCGAGCAAGATCCTTCCATGACGAAGCAAACACGCGGACTGAGACCAATGAACAGAAGTGAATAAAAAAATGGCGCTGCGAACTAATGTAACATTGTATGGTGAGTTTTTGTTCATATCGTGGAACAAAAATATGTTCGAATTTCATGTCGTATCCTGAAAATTTCGTATGCTGGGGTGTTCGTATCCTGAGGTACCACTGTATACAATTAAAAAATATCTTAAGACTATAATACACAAACTCAATAAATAATAAAAAGATTTTGATAAAATACAGCATAAAAAGCATAACAATCAATTGCTACAAAATATTAAGATAAAAATTACTACCAAATCCCTAAAAACTGTTGCAATAATTTAAAGAATTTTTAAAAAAATTTGACTTTGATATCAGCTAGTTTTATTGTAAGAAATAATATCAAAACATTTCAATAAAAAAATGACACAACTTTCAAACGAATTGTCAACGAGCATTGCCTACAAAATATCAGTATATTGGCTAATATCTGATTAAAATTGGCAACATTTATAAAATTTTAAATTAAAATTGAAGACAAAAGTCTGCTGAAATAACAGTTACCATTTATTCACTTTCACAGTTCTGGAATACAACTTTTGACAACCAATCTTTCTTAGTGAGCTACTTGGCCACCAAATTAACAAAATTCTTTTAAAAACAATATCTAATTAAAAACAAACAATTTTTAAAATTAGAGCTGATAACAACAGACATTTCCTTTCACTTTTCATCCATACCACATCAGTATGGATGGATATTATGTTAACATTAAGGTTATTGGATGTTATATCAACATTAAGAAAAATTGAAATTTTTATCAATCAACAATATATACTTTTTTATACTAGAAATGTTTTCTGCTGAAATCTTTGTTATATACTAAAGTATTTTTAAATGAAGCAGCAAGTTCAAAATTTTCTTAAGAGTTATGCATTAATCTGATTAATTTGATCATTGGTGCAAGTTTTATTGTTGTGCAAGCATTTATTACCAAAATTCTCTAATTATATCCAAATGATTTTTGACATTGTAATTATTAAAGACAAATTTTGCATCCCAACTGTCATCATGATAAATAATGTTTATAATAAGGCAAAAATCTATTAAAAATAATGATAAATTGTTGATAGGTTATGCTTAAAATGCCAATATGTGATAAATCAGCATTTGATGCTTTAGTGGATAATAAATCCAACCTCTCTCAGAATCTCTTAGTTAAAGGCAATCAGACATTGAGTATAAGAAGAAAGGAAATGAGAAAGATATCAATAACAAGATGCCATTCATTATGTAAATACCATTGCTTTTCTTAATACAAGAATGGTCTATGCAGTTCATTCTAGCTCACAGTATAAAATTATTTCTTATGTTTGTGTAGAAAAATATTATAGTTATCTTTTATAATAGGCTAATTTTAAATTTGTGTATACTAATAAATGATCTAATGTATCACCTAAAGCAAAAGAAATTAAAGACAGTTTCATAAAATTAAAATATTTTAATTTTAAACAATTAAATTTTAAACAAATTTTAAAAATATATTTTTACTTAGTTTTGTTTAAAAATAATTTAGTTATTAATTAACTAAGCTGTGTCTATTATTTTTACTTAAAATAATACTCACGAGAGTTAATAATACTTCGGATTGCAATGAAGTCAATACATTTTCAATCTGCAAAATTCAAATTTTATATCATTAAAAGCAATATCTAATTATAAAAAGAATGAAATCATAAAATTCAATAATCATATTTCTTAGAAATTAAAATGCAATTTATTAATTATGATTACATAATGCATTTATATCCAAGGATAGACAGCTTTGTTTTTACAATCATTTCGAGAATATACAATCCTCAGAGTACTTGATATAATTATTATTATACAGGTATCCCTTGTATAGCACAGTAGATATGTTCTGAAAAAATGCTGTGTTATGCAAATCCATGCTGTATGAAACTAAGGACTAGTGCAAAAGGTTAGGTTCCAGAAGTTAATAAAAGTGTACTATTCTCTTTTGTTACTAAGAGAAATATCTTTAATAAAGCAATCAATAATTTATTTCCAATCAATAATTAACCAAAAATCACAATTAGAACTACTATACTATGCAATAATATTAATTTTAGTTAAACAAGGGTGTTTTCTATTAACAAAGTATAGTCTTTATCTTGGTTTTTTGTCAATCTCGATCAGAAATATCAGAAACGTCCTCATTTTTTTAATTTTAACCATAAAAGTTTTTTATGTATGACAAAATAAAAAGTAAAAACATGTTATTTTATATATATTATATATTAATCGGAAATTTGTTCTAGTGCTTTGTGCTTAGTCAATAGAGAATCAAGCAAATTTTTTCCAGAATGTGTGTTTGAATTCCAAATTGGGAACAGTTTGAGTAGCAAAATACTGCTGTGTTTCTTTGTCATTTTTACAAATGATTACTTACCTATGGTTAAAAAAAAACATCTAACAACATTTACCTAAAAATGTTTAAATACACTTTACTAAATACAAAGATTAACACATAAAAACAAAAACACAATGACAGTCTTAAAGGCTAAAGTCCAAGAGCAATGAAAATGACATCCAGTTGATAGGAAAGCTGGGACAAGGAAGAAAAAATTGCACCATCATTTTCATTAAAGTAAACCCAATGAAAAGCACAAAATCAATTGAAAATTTCAACATTCTAAAATTTGTGGACAAATTTGAGACCAGCATGCAAGATTACTTAAATAAAGAAAAATATCAAATAATGAAGTTTGTACTTAAGTTGTGAAATTTTGTACGAAGAATTTCTCAAATTTTTGAACCGTGTCAGAGTGAAAACAGAGTGAAACTGCATTGTACAGGGATATTCAAATTTCAGTGTTACAGCAAAACTGTATTGTATGAAGGATACCTCTAATTGTGTCAAATAAGAAAATTCTTTATATTTGTAATTTACTTCTTTTCTACACACAGAGCCGGCCCTACCATAGGGCGAAAGGAGCAGCCGCTCCAGGCGCTAAGTCCTTGGGGGCGCCTCAGTGGTAAAGAAAATTAAAGGGTATAAATTAGGGGCAACCAAGGGGGGCGCCATAATAGGATCGCGCTCCATCCTAAAACTTGCCTCGGGCCGGCACTGTCTACACAGATTATCTCTTTGAAATTTTTTTCAAGCCTGAAACTCTGGGAGCATCTTGACTGCAAGAGAGGAATGAAGTCAACACACTCCCAGAGTTACAGGCCCAAAAAGAGGAAAATTTGTAATTTTAATCAAAGAAGTTATATTTTATGTTCAAGGATTTTTACTAAAATTGTAAATAATCATTTAAAATTAAGTTTTTAATTTATTTTATTCTGAAATTAAACTTGCTATAATAATAATAATTACTATTATTAAATAACTATTATTATACTATATTATTATTATATACATAAATAAAATATAAATAATAATAATTATTATTATTATAAACATATGCTCCTTCATCCTCACGCTAAGGTTTCTATTAGTGACTCTTATGTATTCTTTATCTATTCCTAATTGGTCGTTCTTGTATGGTATTGCATATACTCCTGCTTGTTCTTTTTCATTAATTTTTTCTTTGTCGTTTCTGAGCAACGTATACAATGTGGGAGCTCTTTTGTATACTATATTGGTGTTTTTGTAGTTTGCAATTTCTTTCATAACTGGGAATAGATGTTTATTATATGTAAATCTTGTGATGTTGCTGGCTCCCTCTGGTTTTTTCTTTTTGCTCTTTCTAGGATCGTTGTATGCGGTGATTAGATGCTCTACAGATCTTGTTCCAAATCCCAGCCCTTTCGCATCTTCTTTAATTCTATTCAGTTCCTCTATCGTGTCTATTACGTTGGAGCAATACAGAAACGCTCTTCTGATTAGCGCCCTAAAGGCAGAGAGTTTATATACAGTTGGATCATTAGATGTCGCTGGTATATATATCGGATCATGAGTGGGCTTGATATACACCTTTGTGTA